TGGCCTATTCCTAAACCCTTAACCCTAAACCTGCCTTGAAGAACCCTGGTACTCCTTCCATGGTTTACAACCTCGACGTAAAAGCTCCAAGCTTCCCTGCATTGGAAAGCCATGTCCCTCTAAGCGGAAACCAATATAGGGGCAGTACATAAGAACTTGGTTTTCTAACTAAGAGCTCTCAAACCCCAAAAACCCAAAACTGGATCCTCTCAAACCACAAAATATGAGTTTCCTAAAATAGGGGACCCTAATATAGTACCCCAAATAGTAGGATCCTTATTAAAGAACCCCAATAAGGTACCCCTAATTTTCGGAAACTCCCAAATGGACCTGGACGTCCCGGAAATAGATCCTGCGAAGCTGGCAAGCCAGGGCTTCATACAGATTTGAACATGGTGTGCCTTTTTTCTAGGGTCGGTTCAAAAAGCCTCAAAAAGGGGTTTTAACTTAAACCCTAGAGCCTGATATGCAATGGGTGTTGTATGGTTACAGTGTAGGGTTTAGGGTTTACTTGGAGGATCATGGGACTTAGTAAGTAGGTTATAACTGGGGTTATAAGTCCCCTAAGTGGGGTTATCCTAATTATAACCTACTTATAACCCTAGTTACTAAGTCCCATGAGCCTTTAAGTAGTGTCTGTTCCGTCTTTTCAAAGCATATTTACCAGGCTCGGAGACTGGCTTCCTCTGAGCCCGAAACCGTAAACTCTAATATAGCGCCCCAAAAAAGCACATAAGCAAAAATTAGGGTAGGGATATCCCATATAAATCACCTTATAATGAAGCCCAATAAGGTAGGGATATCCCCATAAAATGCTTATGTGCTTTTGGGGTCCCTAATCTAACCCGGTTATCAGGGCGTACGAACACCGGCTCCCCTTCGAAGGTGAGAACGTACACATCTTCTTGGGACCTTTAGGGGAAACATAATCAAAAGAAGCCAAAGCCCAAAGAAGCAGCAAAAAACAACACAAGGAAAACCCAAGAGCCGTATACGTGCAGTTTAGTTTGGCTCGGTGTTATGCTGTACAGTGCTTTCGCCGATGATTAACAGAATCTTGAAACTTTACCCAAACCCCTTACATCCTAAAGCCTTAAACCCCAAACACCTAAACCCTAAACCACGTCGACGTCGCACCGTCTCTAGGAGTCAGAGAGCTCAGTACCGCTGAATCAAGGACTATTGGTCAAAAGATAATAGCGTAATTAGTAAACCCCTTCAAACTCAAGGCTCTATTCCTCAATTAAGGGAGGAATGGGCTCTCTGGTGAGTTGAGTAGAGTCCTGACTATAAGGGGTCGGGGAGTTGGGTAGAGTCCTGGCTATAGGGGGTCTAGAGTGTTCTCATGTTCTTTATGGATTTTCGTGGATTTTAGAGTTGGTTCCCCGGTAATCCTACCAAAATAAACGTACCCTCATCTGTGTTCTTCTCTCTGCTGTTCTGGTTAGCAGACGCCACAACAAAATGAGAACCTAAACGCCCCAAACACGCAGCGCTCAATTACTATTCATGTGCAGCACGAATGCCTGAATGTTTGGAATCGGGTTTGGGGTTATGCCGTATGAGGATTCTGCAAGAGTTCGATAAGGCTGGATATAGAGTCTAGGTCAAAAGAATTGGTATGGGGATTGATTGTTCGTTCTTCGATGTAGGGGCCATAAGGGTGGTTGTCAAAATTATGGTCCCTTTTTGGGGTACCCTAAATAATAGGTGCCGTACTCTGATAGGGACCCAAAACCCTAAACCCTAAACCCTAAACCCTAAACCCCTAAACCCCTAAACCCCTAAACCCTAAACCCTGAACCCCTAAACCCCTGAACCCCTGAACCCCTAAACCCTAATCTTGACAGCCACCCATAAAGAGATTTCAAGTTAGCTTCGCTTCCTCGACCTTCAATCTCCCGTCACGGTTTAGTTTTTTCGGGTTTAGGGTTTAGGGTTTAGGGTTTAGGGTTTAGTTTTTTCGGGTTTAGGGTTTAGGGTTTAGGGTTTAGTTTTTTCGGGTTTAGGGTTTAGGGTTTAGGGTTTAGTTTTTTCGGGTTTAGGGTTTAGGGTTTAGGGTTTAGGGTTTAGTTTTTTCGGGTTTAGGGTTTAGGGTTTAGGGTTTAGTTTTTTCGGGTTTAGGGTTTAGGGTTTTGGTTTAGGGTTTGGTTTAGGGTTTTGGTTTAGAGTTTAACAAAAAGTACCCAAGAGCGGTAAAGAAACAGTGCCTTCGCAGTGTCGCAAGTTTGAAGCCTAAAGCCAAAAAACAAACAAGCCATGACACCCGCACGCATTAGGATTCAGGGTTTAGGGAGTTTAGAGCTAAGGATTTCGCGTTTGGGTGTCTAGGGTGTCGCGGCTCCTGAACCCATAACCCCGACAGCCTTACAACAAGAGAGTTTCAAAAAAAAATAACAAGGAACAACAGGCAAACTCTCTGAAAAATGAAAACAATCACAAGAAGTGAGAACTACCATAAGATTTCGTGTGAAAGCCTTCTTCAAGCGAAACTCCCAGGGTCCTCGTTGACACGGCATCAAGCTTGGCCATGAAAGATCCCCCCTCAGCCATCCCGCCGCCCCAGATGTCAGCGACCTCCTTCATGTCAGGGTCCCACCTCAGAACGGGACTTTGAAGTAACCAGGGAGAAAAAAGTATAGACTTTTATTTCATAATGGTTCCTTTCAGGAACAGGTACCCAAACAAGTATTCAAGTATGGTACTCCAAACCCAGGAGAAGCCGTCAAGACTCTACCTTAACCCACCAGAACCTACCTTTTTTGTAGGATCCCTATAAACTCCTTATAAGGGTTGAGAATGCAAACCCTATAAAAGAGACCATCACCCAAAAGAGTAACAAAAACCAAAATGTTCCTCGTTGCTGTATAGAATACTGCGGGGTTTAGTTACCAGGGCTTGATACGGACTTTAAAGGGCATTATAAGGCTCTCCGAAATTTACGTGTTCCTGTCATCATGTCGGGATCCCAGCGAAGAGACCCGTCAAGACTTTCACTTTATCCGGGCTAGATTCCCAAGACCTTCAAGTTTGCTCCCTTGCTTGTGTACATGCAGGTCTGCATTTTACATGCCTAGACCCTAAACCGAAACCCTTCGCACGCCCCCTAACTTTCAGCACTGCCGCACGACCCACTGCGGGAGGTCCGCCAAGTAGGCCCAGACCTTATCTGCCCAGCCAGAAATGTTGGAGCTCAATTTTTACAAGGGACTGGGCTTCCTGTCATAATTTCCCCCCAAACCCTGGACCCTACTTAGAGGATCATGGGACTTAGTAAGTAGGTTGTAAATGGGGTTATAAGTCCCTTAAGTGGGGTTATCCTAATTATAAGCTACTTATAACCTTACTTACTAAGTCCCATGAGCCTTCAAGTACAAACTTGAGGGTTTAGTGAGTGTTTCGGGCTCAGGGGATCCCCAAATGAAGCTGCAACAAAAACGTACTTTCTCCCAGTAAGCCTAAACCCTAAATCCTGAACCCTGAAACCGTAAACAGAATACAACCTGCAGTACTAACTATACCATATCCTTAGAACCATTAAACAAAAGAATGATGTATATTCTCTTTGGTTTGGTATGAACAAAAAATGAAAAAATGATTTATTCTTATGAGGCTGAAGTATTTTAAGGGTTCCTGAAGCTTTAGGATTTGAAGCAGTAGCTAAGCTATACTGAACTTAGAACCCTAGCAAAATCATATTTTTAGCTGTTTCTTAGGGTTATAATAACCAAAAATTAAAAACTATTTCTAAGTAACCCTAAGAAGAGGCGGTCTCGGGTGGTGCATCGATCTGCACGGTGCGGATGACGGGTGCCATTGCTTTCGGCGCGGCTGGTCCCACCGGGAGGATCTAGAAAGTAGATCCCCTAACTTAGTAGGGCTCCTTAAAGCGCTCCTTTAAGGGATCCTTTAGGGTTTAGGGTAAGGGTGGGTGCCATTGCTTTCGGCGCGGCTGGTCCCAGTGGCTTTCGGATGTACTTAAAGGCTCATGGGACTCAGTAAGTACTGTTATAAGTAGGTGATAGTTAAGATAACCCCACTTAGGGGACTTATAACCCTACTTATACCCTACTTACTAAGTCCCATGATCCTCTAAGTAGGGCTTAGGTCTAGGGAGTCGTGTTTAGGGCTTAGAGTTTAGGAATTAGGGTTTAGGGTTTAAGGTTTAGGGTATAGCGTTCAGGGTTTACAAGCCATTTCAAGAGGGTTTGATAATAGATTCGTTCAGCGGTTTAGGGCCTAGGGGGTTTAGGTTCAAGGTGAGTTTAGAACTCCAGATTCTGTAGGCTTTGCGTAGTTTAGAGGTTCGGGCTCTGGATCTCTAGGATATTCTTCAGGATTCAATCCTTCAGTGCTTGATAGTCCGTCGTGCTTGCAATAGTCCGTACTTCTTGAGCCTGTTATCTTCGGCAAGTTGACATCGCTTGGTGTGACTAAGCTTCTTCTACAAGGCCCCCAAACTCGGAACCCTAAAGCCTAATCTCAAGTCGAGGGTTTACGGAATTATTTCCACACTTCTTCCCTAAAGTGACTCGGGGCGCCCCTTCTCAAACCCTCGCTCGTCCTCCCCCAAATCCCTCAGGAAGGGGCCTGAAAATCCAAATAGGGTTTTGCTGGGGTTCTATCAGGCTTCAGCAAGCGAGGTCTGAGTCACAGGGTGTAATGGTGCATCATATTATGAATATATACTGGTGGTATGAAGGGTGTGACTGATATAGGAACCGCGACAATTAGAATTGTGTTCTGGACTATGTTGCAGCTATACTTATACCTGTGTTAAGAAACTCCAGCGTATCATGACTACTGCTGCAACGGTTATCATTTTCACCGTTAGTAGCACTGTATTTTGCATGCTCTTGCTACGTCTATTCCCCTAAACCCTAAACCCTAAACCCTAAACCCTAAACCCTAAGCCCTAAACCCTAAACCCTAAACCCTAAGCCCTAAACCCTTCTCACCGATCCTCTCCAAGGCGACCTCCGGACCAAGCTTCACAGTGCCTTGTCGCGACATCTGCTGTGCTTGCCCATCGTGCAGAGCACCTGATACGGTTGATGATATAAATCCTGCATCACCCATAATAAGGAATCTACCATAATTCCCATAGTTTAGGCTCCTTAAGGTCATGCAGGATTTATATCATCAACCGTAGAACCGCTGCTGGTGATGATTAACTGCAGAGATTGAACTGTGGAGGCGTTTAAAACGATTAGTTATAACATTCCCTTATAGTCCTTGTAGACATATTTAAGGACTTGTCATTTGCTTGAGTTTGTCCATCTATGTATCTCTTCATCTATCTACCTATCTATCTCTTTATCTTTCTATCTCTCTGTCTCGCTCCCTCTCAATCTATCTCTCTGGCTCTTTAGTGTATCTCTCTGTCTCTGTCCCTCTCTCTGTCTCTCTCTCTCTCTCTCGCTCTCTCTCTCTCTCTCTCTCTCTCTCTCTCTCTCTCTATCCGTCCCTCTATCTCTGTATCTCTCCATCTCTCCATCTCTCCGTCTCTCTGCCTCTCTATCTCGGTATCTGTCTCTCTATCTACCTGTCTGTCTGTCTATCCATCTGTCCTGTCTGTCTATCTATCTGTTTTACGTACACTGCAACCCAACGACCCATTGAGAATTATGATCATTGAGGCCCCTCTAAAGGCCTAGACGGCATAAAACCGTTGACGAAGTTACTGGTACTTCGAACCCCGTTCTACTTCTCAAGGTCCCGAAAAACACCCTAAACCCTAAACTAAGCCCTGCAAGATCCGCAAAGGAAGCATATTCACCCTGTGGAAGCCTCTAGTTGCAGCGATGTTTGGGCAGCGAAGCTCGAAGTGCGGAGCACCGTGTCCAGCTCCGTCCAACGAACACGTCGGCAGAAGCTGTATCTCCGCGGGCATGCGGTGTTCGACGACGAAGCAACTCGGTGCTTGCGCAGTCCCTGTGAAAAAGGACACCTTTGCCTAACCTTAAACCCTAAACCCCGAACCATAAGCCGCAGCTGGACTTGGGCTGAAAGCCCAGCCAAGCATCATTGAAACTCAATGTATAATGCGGCCCCCTGATTCATAACCCCCGTGTCTTCAAGGGCAAAAATTAATTGTAGAGTCCCTGAAAAGGGAGCGGGGTTTAGGGTTTAGGGTTTTTTGCTATACCTATCCAGAGCCTTGAAGCACGAGCCGCAGTGTCCAACACCGGAAACCCTGTTTGAACAGTATTTCCAAAACCCAATAGAACCTTCGGGCTACCCTCAACCCTAAACCTTCCCAAAAGCCTCAACCCCAAATACTCAACCCTTAGCCAGAAGCCCGAAACCCTAAAACCACCCGACCTCACACCCTTAACCCCAGAACCCACCACCTCAAACCTCCTACTTAAAGGCTCATGGGACTTAGTAAGGTTATAAGTATGTTATAATTATGATAACCCCACTTAGTGGACTTTTAACCCCAATTATATAGTACTGTACTTACTAGTTCTTTTAGGGGCATACAAAAGGGCTCAAGGGACCTCGTAAGTGGGGGGTATAATTGGGGTTGCAACTGCCCAAAGTAGGATTATCCTAGTTATGACCTCACTTATAGATTAGAACCTAACTTGCTAAGCAAAGTGAGCGCTGTTTAAATGGGGCCAAGGAGAGCTCTTGAAGGAGTTTGTATCAGCCATAGTAAACTTGGCCTCCAAGTAAACCCTGAAACCGTAGAGGCCTCACTGCACTAATACGGTTGATGATATAAATCCTGCATGACCCATAATAATGAATATACCACCATTCCCATAGTTTAGGATCCTTAAGGTAATGCAGGATTTATATCATCAACAGTATCTCTCAAACCAGAAAGAAGCTAGCTCGTCGGAACCCAGACCCCCAGGAGGATCTGGAAAGTAGATCTCCTAATTTGGGGCCCTATACTACTAGGGGTACTAAATAGGAACCCCCATTAAAGCCCCTAAGCCCTAAACCCTAAAACCCTATAGATCCCTTGAAGGGGCCCTTAAAGGAATTCCCATAGGGGTACTTAATAAAACAATTCGATTCAAGGCACGATTCAGCCCCTAAACCCTAAAAGACTGAAAACAACTCGATTCAAGGCGCGATTCAGCTCCTCCACAAGATCCGCCAGCGGTGCTTCCTTGCTCTCCACGTCCCTGAGCAGAGCTCATCAAAGGGCAAAAGGAGGGACCCCTAATAAGGACCCCTATTAGGGTTTAGGGTTTAGGGTTAGGTATATACCCATAATATCTAGCCATTCTATACCCTTTATAAGCCCATTTTAGGGTACGGGTCCCCATTAAGGGTCCCTCCTTTTCCCCTTTGAGCTCAGTTCATCGGGATATTCACCCTAAGCCCTACACCCGAAATCTCAAACCCGAAATACACCTTAAACCCTCGAAATCCTAAACCCCAAACCCGAAACCCTAAACCCCAAACCCGAAACCCGGGGGAAAAAAAAAAAAAAAACTGAACACCCTCCACAATACACCATTAAATCTGATCTGGTTTCATAGGCCTCCCCTGTGCTCCCGAGAGATTTTGCCGAAGTGGGAGTTTCCGAAAATTAGGGCGATTATAATAAACATCCTATTATTTAGGGTGCTATATTAGGGTCCCCCATTTTCGGATACGGGGTATGTCTTTAGTTTTTTGAGACCTCTACGCAATCGGGCTCGATTGCACTTAATGTGCTAAACTGCTAAACCCTGAACCTGACACTCTCATCCTCATCCCCGCACCCTTAAATGGGAGTTTCCGAACATAGGGGACCCTATTTAATATTGGATCCTAAATAGTAGGATCCCTATTATAAGGACCCCCCAAAAATGTACCCCTACTTCTCGGAAACTCCCAGTTAGGGCAAACACACTGTGCTTCAAAAAAACTGAAAACCTGGATAAATCTGCATAACAAGTCTCTACAAAGCCAACGACGACCTAGAAACATCCAGAGGTTAAGCGCTGGAAATCCCGAAGCCCTAAACCGCTACTTCGCCCGAAAACGCGAGGCCCTGACTCCTACCCCCCAAGGTAAATATCTTTTGTTTAATATCTTCTTTGGTTTTGTATGAACAAAAGTGAAAAAATAGTTCCTAAGCAGGCTATAGTATTTTAAGGGTTCCTGAAGCTTTAGGATTTGAAGCAGTAGCTAAGCTATACTGAACTTGGAACCCTAGCAAAAATTTTAATTTTAGCTGTTTCTTAGGGTTATAATAACCAAAAATTAAAAATTATTTCTAAGTACGCGTAAGAATCAACTCAATCCTTGCCGCGCAACCCGAAATATTGAAACCCTCAACCTCCTCAACCCTAAACCCTGAACCCGAAACCCTAAACTCTAAACCTTAAGCCCTAAACCCTAAACCTTTCGTTATTCTTCAGACCGCCTTCATTACACCGGAAAAGGTCGTGCTGCCACAGGCCTAGGGATCTGAAGCTGCTGCAGGGCGTCGCCGACCTCCCGCAATCAGGTGAGATGCTTCACTTCTTTGACCTTAGGGTTCAGGGTTTAGTTCCCAGAGATCTCCAATATCCCTTAACTAGACAGTATATTCCTTAAATCAGATTAGGGATTCTACTGTATTTTACGGCATATTCCCATAGTTAAGGGAGATAGGAGTCTCTGGGTTTCGGGTAGACCATGCTTGAAGGATCATGGGACTTAGTAAGTAGGTTATAACTGGGGTTATAAGTCCCCTAAGTGGGGTTATCCCTATTGTAACCTACTTATATTCTTACTTACTAAGTCCCATGAGCCTTCAGGTGGTTCTCATAGGAATGACGATATCAACAACACTAGCAATTTTATGTTTTATCACCATCAGTGTCATAGCAATGACAACCGTAATCGCAACCCAGATAGAGGGGCCCTAATAATTAGAATAAGGTTTGGGGGCATAGGGTCTGTAAGTGCACTATATAGTAGGGTTCTAAAATATGGGGGCCTGAATAATTAGAATAGGGTTAGGGGGCTTGAGGGCATATTCGACTGTAGTCATAACAACGAACCCCCAAAACAGTGCTGGCATAGTGGTGGCACTTGTTGAAGCCTAACTCCCCTTCGACCGTAAGCATGCACAAAATATGTGAAGATCCCGAGTAAAAACACAAATTGACACAAATTACATCAAATGTCAAAGAGCCGTGTAGACAACTGGCAGGATCCTTCATAGAAGGACGCTAAACAAACTACCCCAAAGCTTCTGACATCTTGCCTAACCCTAAACCTTAAACCCCTAAGCCCTAAACCTCTAGATGACTGACCGAACCCGAAAACCACTGAACTGAAAAATCAAGAACACGAAACCCAAAAGGCCTTAAACCTTAAATCGCAAAAGCTACAAAACCCCAAGAAACATTGCAGGAACCCTTACGCGACTCCCAAAAGCCCGAAACCAAAAACAACTATATACATGTATATATATATATATACATATGTACACCCTCTAAGAAACAAAAACACACACACACACACAAACAAAATCAATACACCCTAAAGAGAAAGAGATACAAGTAAAAACAAAACCAAGAAACAAAAAAAACACAGCCCCGTCGCCTGCGTCCCGAAACTCTGGCGTCGGAGGCTGGCCAGAAGCCGCAAAGCGGCTTCCAGGGGCGACGCTACCCCGGGACCTCTAAGGGGTGTAAGGGTTTGGGTGTTTAGGGTTTTGGGGTTTGGGGTTTAGGATTTGAGGTTTGGGAGGTCTAAGGGGTGCACGGGTTTGGGGTTTAGGGTGTTTGTTTTGATTTTATTTTGTTTAACGCCTCTTTTCCATCTGGTGTTTAGGGTTTAGGGGTTTGGGAGGTTAGGGTTTTGGGGTTTGGGGTTTAGGGTTTTGGGGTTTAGGGTTCAGGGTTTGAGGGTTTGGGGTTTGGGGTGTGAGGATTTGGGGTTTGAGGGTTTGGGTTTTGGGGTTTAGGGTTCAGGGTTTGAGGGTTTGGGGTTTGGGGTGTGAGGATTTGGGGTGGGGTTTGGGGTTTCGGGTTTGAGGGTTTAAGGTTTAGGGCTCAGGGTTTGGGGTTGTTGAAAGACGTATTTGGAGGGGTTTACAAGGCGGCTGACCGCAACGGTTCTGCCTGTAGCCTGTTACAAGGTCGCAGAACGTTCAATAGGATTCATTGGCGTGGGTTGAATCCCCGAGCCCGAAAAAGGTCAACGTTTTGAACCAAAACCACCAAGCTACTAAGACTAGGGCCTTTTGGGGCTCTGGGGGTCTACGAGTCAGGGGAGAGCCCCGTTTCCTCCGCCTGGGTAAGGGTTTAGGGGCTTCGGGATTGAGGGTGCCGGGCTTTTGGTTTCAAGGCCCCCCTTTCCTCAAACTTTCTTTGGCTCAGGGTGTGTTTGCTTTGAGGTTTTCCGAGGTTTTAGAAATAGTTCGTCAAGCTTTCATCATGCTTTGGAAGAGGCCAAACGAGTTTCAGGCATGTGGCCCGGACAAAAGGGATAGCCGCAACTTGTCGGGCTACAGGTATTCCACGCTCTGTAAACCCATAAAAGGACCGCATGAGACCTTGCAACAACCTCGCTAGGCTTCCTTGGGGCAAGGTATGCTGGGTTGATATATAAAGGGTCTATAGGGGTTTAAGGGGATTTGGGGTTTGGTAGCTGAGGGCTTACCTTAAAGGCTCATGGGACTTAGGAAGGAAGGTTATAAGTAAGTTATAATTAGGATAACCCAACGACTTAGGGGACTTATAACCCCAATTATAACCTGCTTACTGATCCTGTACCCAGAGACTCCAATATCCCTTAATTAAGGAATATGCCTTAAACCATTTTAGGGATCCCACCATAATTTAAGGAATATTCCTTAATTAAGGGATACTGGAGTCTCTGGGTAGGTAAGGTTTACGGGTTGAGGGGTTTGGTGCCTTCTGGCGCATGTCTCACTTCCGCAGCTGCTTGCTGCGCGTTGGCCACGAGATCTCCGCCCTGAGCCAGGGGATCGGCTTTTGGGGACTCGTGTCTAGGGCTTAAACCCTAAACCCCTAAACCCCTAAAGCCCCTAAGCGACCTAAACCACCTAATCCCCTAAACCCTACAGGACCCGCAACCCTAAAACCTAAATCCGAAATGCTGCTGTACTGTTCCGGGCTCAGGGCTTCGGTGTTAGAGTTTAGGGTTTAGGGTTTTGGGTGGGTTTCAGATTCTAAGCTCAAGGATTTGAGATCATGCCGGAGGTGTACATAGGCGCGTCCACGAGTCTTCATGTTCACATGGTCATGTGACGTCGCTGCCGATGACTTCAGTGATGATGGTGATGATGACCACGGAGATGATGATGAGGACGATGATGATGATGATGACCATGATGGTGACCATAATGATTAGGAAAAAAGGATGCCTAACTGGCGGGCTCATAAGCTCTAGGACTCTAAGAAGCCTATGAGGGAGAGGGAGGAGGTGGAGGAGGAGGCGGAGGAGCGACCATGAGGGTCATGCGAACAGTGGCCCTCGCGGTCATCGTGCTGAATGGGTGTACAGTTTGAGCTTCTGGGTTCAGGTTGACTATTACAGAGACCTTAATGATTAGAATAGGGTTTTGAGGCCCACCTAAACCAAAAACGACGGCTCTTGGGCGCACATTTTGCACACATGCTTGGCATGTCTGAGACGATGGGTCTGGCGAGCCGTCTCCACAGACGGCAGTTGCCAAAAAGACACCAAAATGGGCCAGGAGGGATCTTTTGGTCCCATGGGTGAGGGTTTCTGGAGTTGTGGCTTTAAGACGGTGCCTTCGAGTGTCGATCATCACAAGAGCCTTTAGGGTTAAGGGTGTAGGGTTAAGGGTTTTTTGGGGGGGGGTTCTTTTACTATAGTTCGGTGGGACTGGAACGAGGAGGGTGTGTTGCAGGGGCCTTGGTGATTAGAATCGGCTTTTGCAGCGTGTTAGGGTATGTCTAAGATACGGAACCCTGAGGCAGAGCCCTAAACCCTAAACCCTGAAGCAGAGTGTCACTTATGATTCAAGACCCCACAGCGGGAGGCTGCCAGAGTTTAGAGTTTAGGGTTTAGGGATGCTTTTTGGAGCTGCAGAGTTTGGGGCTTAGGGTTTGGGGCTTAGGGTTTTGAGATAATAGGATTGGCTTGACGCTCCCATGTCTCGGTCTTGGAAGCACTGAACGAGACAGATGAATGTTTTGAGTTCAGATCCCTAGATTTAGTGAATAAGGTTGGTCTGACTGAAAAGCCGTTAGTTATTCAACAACCCCCTTCTCCTATTAAGGATTCCAATACATACGGACCCTAATGTCAAGGCCATAAAAGCAAAGGGTATAGTCTACATAATTGCTGATGAACTAAACCGCAGCGACCTCTTTTCGGTGGTTCCTTAACATCAGCATCCTCTGTTCTGTTAACATCCAACTATACTGAACTTAGAACCCTAGCAAAAATTATAATTTTAGCTGTTTCTTAGGGATTATAATAACCAAAGATTAAAAAGTGTTTCTAAGTACCCCTAAGCCAAGGCTTACGGCTCAGGGCTTGAGCCTAGACTCCAAGCATTAGACTCTAGACCCTGAACCCCTATGCCCTAAACTTCCAGAACCTCCATGCACGAGATCCTGGTACAAATCCTGCTGTGCCCGTAAACCCCGGAAGAACTACTTACAGGATCATGCGACTTAGTAAGTAGGTAATAATTGGGGTTATAAGTCTCCTAAGTGGGGTTATCCTAAGTATAACCTACTTATAACCTTACTTACTAAGTCCCATGAGCCTTTAAGTATCTAGGATACCCAGTAACCTAAGAATAAAAAGGCTTTTTTTGGTATTGGGTAACTTTATAAGGAACCTAGGACTACAAAAAGGGAATAAGAGTACTACTGGGCATCCTAGCTAAGTCCCATGAGCCTTTAAGTATTGAAGGAGCCCATACATTGAAGTGGAAGGCCCAGGTCTTCAATGCTGTGGCATCGAGCATGAGGGGGTTTGCTGGCTTCCACCTTGAGGGTATCTTATAGTACCTATACTGAACTTGGAACCCTAGCAAAAATTATAAGTTTAGCTGTTTCTTAGGGGTTATAATAACCAAAAGTTAAGAATTATTTCTAAGTGCGCCTAAGCATCGAGCATGAGGGGGTTTGCTGGCTTCCACCTTGGGGGTATCTTATAGTACCTATACTGAACTTGGAACCCTAGCAAAAATTATAAGTTTAGCTGTTTCTTAGGGGTTATAATAACCAAAAGTTAAGAATTATTTCTAAGTGCGCCTAAGCATCGAGCATGAGGGGGTTTGCTGGCTTCCACCTTGGGGGTATCTTATAGTACCTATACTGAACTTGGAACCCTAGCAAAAATTATAAGTTTAGCTGTTTCTTAGGGGTTATAATAACCAAAAGTTAAGAATTATTTCTAAGTGCGCCTAAGCATCGAGCATGAGGGGGTTTGCTGGCTTCCAGTTTGGGGTATCTTATAGTACGTCAGGGGAAACACATTCTCAGATATTGAGATCTATGGGAGTTTCCGAAAACAGGGGACCCTAGTATAGTACCCTACATATAGTAGGATCTTTATTCTAAGGACCCCAAACCAAGGTACCCCGAATTTTCGGAAACTCCCTTATGGGGGCTCTATTCTGAACCCTAATCCCTAAACCCTAAGCCCCAAACACTAAACCCTAGACCCTAAACTAAACCCTGGGGAGTCTTAGTACAAGATCTGGCCCGGCGCTGGCGATTCGTGCAGGTCAGAGCTGCACGGTGCAACAGAGAGCCCGCGGATCTAAACGCGGCCTTTATACTTGGAACAGATTCAAGGTTTACGGGTTCAGGGCAGAGGGATTTTAGGGTTGTCTGGTTTTAGGGCTTTAGTAAGTAGGTATGAAGTAGAGTTATAAGTACCCTAAAAGGGACCGTAGTTGCGGGTTATCATACTTATAAGTCTATAAGTTAGCTTATTCAGATGTCTATGTTAGACTAGGAGAGCTGCAGGATCTGGGAAGGCTACTATGGACACTAAAGCTTCACCACCACAGGCCCACTGTAGCGTACCGTCGACGCCAGAAAGCTGGGACATCATTACCCCCATGCCCTTGAGGCAAAGTTTCGGGAATCCCAGCACTATCATCCATAGGGTTTAGGGTTTAGGGGTTTTAGGGGTTTAGGGTTTAGGGCTTAGGGTTTAGGGTTTAGGGTTTGGGGTTTAGGGTTATCCCAGCACTACTGTTGATGGACAAAATCCTGCATGACCTTAAGGACCCTAGACTATGGGAACCATGGTATATTCCTTTAAATAGGTAATGCAGGATTTTGTCCATCAACAGTATCATCCATAGGGTTTAGGGTTTAGGGGTTTTAGGGGTTTAGGGTTTAGGGCACGAGCATCCATGATCCATGTTCCAACTTTCTGGGTTCACTAGAAGCTCATGACTCTCAGAGCTGTGCATGCAAGAACTAACGCCTCGGACACCCTTGGGCTGGGCCGCTTGAGGTCTAGGGTCTAGGGTTTGGGGTTTGGGTCTAGGGTTTAGGGTTCAGGGTTCAGGGTTCAGGGTTTAGGGTTTAGGGTTTAGAGTTTAGAGTTCAGGGATTAGGGTTCAGGGTTGGGGGTTTAGCATTTACCGTTTAGGGTTCAGGGCACAGGGCCTAGGGGTTGAGGGCTTTTCCGGTTCACTGTTTGAAGTCTCACAGCGGCCTCCAACCCCGAATCCCTGCTGGGGACAGCGAAGGTCGTCCGGGGCAGTCTTCGAAAAGGCAGTAAACTTGCATGCAGCGGCTAGCAGCAAGATTTTCACCCCACTATGTTAAGGCAAACGGCAGCGAGGTCTATCGTGGTTCTATACGTGTGCGGGCTGTCAAAGGCGAAACGTGCAGCTGCCTGGAATCTGCTGTAGAAGCCATAAAGTGGAACATGAGCGACGGATGATTCGTGCAGGAATTCCATATCCCTTTCATCATGGCACGCAGAGCCCCCTTCCCTAACCCTTAACCCTAAACCCTAGACCCTAAACCCTAAACCCTAAACCCTCAATCCTAAACCCTTAACCCTAAACTCTTAACTTTTCAAAACCTGTAAAACAATCAGTTATGTCCCAAGGCCCCTCGGTGTCTTAGCTACGACTAGGTCCCAAATGATTTTTTATAAAGGGCATCAGGATAATGTAGAAGCCTAAGAAATTACCTATATGCTTCCTTGCGGCTCCTTACAATATCATAGGGATCCTTAGGGGTGTAGGGGGAGGGGGGGTAGGGGGCCTTAAGGCCCATAATAAGGACTAATAAGGCCTATTTAAGGAAACATAGTCCCCCACACCCCTCCCCCCTACACCCCTAAGGATCCCTATGACAATAGTATTATTATCACTATTGCTACTATTGTTTTCATTGCAAAGGAGCCCAAAACCCTGTTCTACTTGCTACGGCGTCTGCACTTGCGAAGTTCCAACTCATGTGGCTTCTGCTTTGAGGGATCTCAGATTCGGATCCCCGTGGCTGCTCCCCACCTGGCGCAGAGGTCCTGTCCCAATCCGTGAGGGAATGGCCCCAACGATTTTGAGTTTGGGGTGGAGGGCTCTGGGGTCCACACGGTTTAGGGTTTAGGGGTTTAGGGTTTAGGGTTTAGGGTCTAATGCTAGGCTTTTGGTTGTGATGCGCTGCATAGGGGTTTTAGAAGGCTCTGTTCATTGCCCGGGCTCAGATCCCTATCAGGGCAACGATGGCACAAAAAGGACGAGACCAACACAAAACACCCACGAGCCGCAGAATGGGGATTGGGGTTTAGGCCCAGAGCGCCCACCCCTTAAATGAGGAATCTTACATGGGCCTCAATACAATGATTTAGGCTACATTCCCTACTTAGAGGCTCATGGGACTTAGTAAGTAAGGTTATAAGTAGGTTATAATTAGGATAACCCCAATTAGGGGACTTATAACCCCAATTATAATTACTTACTAAGTCCCATGATCCCCTAAGTAGTTCAGGGGCATTGG